TCTTAAACAAACAAACAGTATGGTTATTGCATTGGTCCCGAAAGCTTCTCACTCGCCTACTGTTGGGAACTATTGGCCGATTACTTGTTGCAACGTCGTCTATAAGGTTATTACCAAGATTCTTGCTTCTTGGTTGAGACCTATTCTTGGAACTATTGTGGATCAAGCACAAGCCGCATTTGGGGAAGGTCGGAGTATGACGGAAAATATCCATCTTGCTCAAGAGCTCTTGAGGCAATATAATCGTAAAAGGGTTACCCAAGATTGATTTAAGGAAAGCATATGATTCGGTCAATTGGGATTTTCTTAGAGGTGTTCTTGGTGGTTTGGGATTTCCAGAAGATTCATTGCATGCGTGATGGAGTGTATCACTACTCCATCATATTCTATTATGCTTAATGGTAGCCTTCATGGATTCATCAAAGGGAAAAAGGGCTTTCAATGACGGGATCCTTTATCTTCCTTTTAGTTTGTACTTTGCTTCAAATATTTCTCACGGATGTTGAATGGAGCAATCGAGGATAGTGAATTTAATTTTCATCCCAAATGTGGGCCATTAAAAGTTACACACTTGGCATTCGCGGATGACTTGATGCTCTTAGCTAGAGGGGACGCAACATTGGTTTGAATTCTGATGAATTGCTTATCTTCTTTTGGAGATGTATCGGGATTGAGAATGAATACCTCCGAATCCAGCTTATTTATAGCTGGTGTTCATGGCCTTGAATTGGAGGAAATTCAGACATTGACTGGCATACCAAAGGGATCCATGCCGTTTTGCTACTTGGATATACCACTTGCGGGTTGAAAAACTGAGAATTAGTTCCTATGCACCTTTTTTGGACAAAATTTCAGCATATATTTATGCATGGACTAGTACGCCATTATTCTATGCGGGAGGAACCAAACTTGTGAGATCCGTGCTTCAAGGTATTGAATATTTTTGGCTGTCTATATTTTTGATCCCAACCACATTTGCTACGAGAATTATAAGACTACGCAGGAATTTCTTTGGGGATCCAAAAAGCTGTTGGCAGCATGGATGAATTTATGTCTACCGAAAAGTGAAGGTGGCCTTGGTTTTAAAGATATTAAATGCTGGAATTTAGCATTGCTATCAAGATCACTTTGGAACATCCACAATAAGAAGGATTCACTATGGGTGCAGTGGATAAATCATATTTAATTGCGAGGGACGACAATTTGGGAATGCTCCTCTAGAAAAAGGGGACTCCCCTTTGCTCAAAAAGCTACTGGAAGTCAGGGAAAAAATCGCTCAGCCTGAAGGAATTGCACATGCTACGTTAAGCAGATTGGCAAACTGGGTTGTTGAAGGAAAGCTTAGCATCTCACGAGCATATGATTTTTTCAGGCCAACTGGGGACAAGAAGACATGGACTACTATTGTTTCCTAAGAACTCTTTTATCTTGTCATTAAGTGCTCAATCAAAACGCCTAACCAAAGACAAGTTGTTGCACCTTGATATCAACAGAAACTGTGTTTTGCAACTCACAATAGGAAACAGGCCAGCATATTTTCTTCCAATGCTAATTCAATTCTTGCATTTGGAGATTAATTAGAGCACGGTTGGGGATTACACGCTCTATGACAACTATTGGAAGTGCCTTGAAGTGGATTAAAAATGAGGCCCGAGATACATATTGGCATTGCAAAGCCAAGAGAATTGCTCTTGCTTGCACCATTTACTACATATGGATGGCGAGAAATAGGAAGATTTTTGAAGATCTTAGACCATGGATTGATAACATAGTAAGACAGATCAAAACATATGTATACAAAATGATGTTTTCCTTGTATACCTATGTTTTGATTCATTTTGAGTCTTTAGCATTGTGTCTTTAGATTTTTTCGTTTGTACATCCTTTCTTTTGTTTATCTTGGGTATGCCTGGAGTATTTGTACATGATTAAATTGTACATGAGTTTTAATCAATAGATTTTTTTTTTTTTTTACATTTACTGACCAAAAAAAATAATGATGATGTCTTTTAATCACCGTGGAGCTCTACGAGCTAGTCATTGGCTGAGCCATTTCTAGACATGACATGGAGCAGTCATTTGTTGAGTTTGTTTAGAAACCTTCATTAGGACCAAGATTTGTCACTAATCATAGACTAAGAATCTGTTATCAACAAGTCAAAAAATTAACCAATATCTCTAGATATCTTCATCTGCAAAACTAATCTTTTACATGGTTTGAAAAGCATTATAAAATTGTCAGCTCTCTTTGAGGGATCAAATTACAGAAACTTTCTAACAGAAAGAATCTTCATTAGACAAGAACGATGATGGGGGTGGGGAAGGGGAGCCTGAACTAGCCGTAAAGATAGATAAAGAGCTATTCATATCCAGCACTACTAGTTGATTTGCAATTCCATACCTGTATAATTAATAACCTCTGTACCTACTCAAATGGAAAAAACTAGTACTTTGGGCATGGTTGGACCGTGGTCAATTTCAAAAAATAAAATCGAATAGCACATGTCAGATTCATACCTTGTGGTGAACAACCTGAAGGACCGGGCTCGACAATGGCACCCGTTGAGCACGGAGCGGTGGTAGGGAGAGGTGGGGCCACTTGGGTAGCAATGAACTCATGGAGTCTTGTACATTCAAATTTCACGTGCTGTTCAATTTCAAGCTTCACAGTCCGGAGTCGCATCTCGAAGAGGATTCTTTGGTCGAGTAGCAGCTCCTCAACTTTTCCTTTGGTCAAGCTGGAAGCAGATGTTCCAACTGGCCGTGTGTGTGTCGTAGGTACTCGTACTGGTGAAGGAACCGGTGTCGCTGAAGGGGTGGAAGACTCACCGGTATCCTCACTGTCATCGCCATCGCGATCACTTCCTAACTGTCCATCGTTGTCATCATCTCCAAATGTCTCACCATCACCACTTCGTCCACTATGGATTCTGTCATCGAAATCTTAATCTCCCGACATGTCCACCAACTCCACTATCGGCGTGCAACGAATGAAATTGCAGTGCAACCATAGTCCTCACAATGTCATCAAGCACGACATCAGGGGATCGTCGTACGGCATGAGAGTGGACAGATATGGCTGCTCTACCTCTGCATTGGTGGGGTGAAGTGTTGTGTACACATGCAGCTGCGAAATGAGGTTTAGATAATCACATGAGAACGTAGCAGATAGTCACGAGATGGTAAAGGAAAAACGAACACATGTCGAAATTGTACCTGTACATTCTTGAAAAATGTATCGTATGTACGGTGCTGTGGGTACTTTTGTATGGACCAGCGAAGAAGTCGTGGCATTCGTTCATCGACTCCCTGACCGAAGCATCCCCAATCTCCAGAATCACCTCGTACGCCCAAACCTGTTGCAACAACAGAAATACATTCAAATTACCGAGATTATAGGTGCAATGCCATCGGAGGGGTAAATCGTACATGCTATGATAATGTTACGAATTGTGCAAACCTGCATGGCGATGGGGAAGCCATGCACCATTCATGTAATCTTTTTCTCCTTCCTCCTCTTGGCCTTTTATAATTTTCTTGCAAAGCTACCCTGAAACCCGTGCAACAATCGCCTATATCCAACTCTATCCCAAGGGTAAGGAAAAAAAAAAGTCTAGGTCGTTGAACGTTGATAGTGTCAGCAAATGGATTCCGACATTATTATCCAGAGCATTGAATACTCCCTCGACAATTAGAACCAGCCCTAGCTTGTAGCGATCAGCACGGGTCATCGACAGTCAGGCAACAGTAGACTGTAGTTGTGCTAATGATACCTTGTCATTGGACTTAAAGTACCTCTCTTTCAACCTTTTCCTCTCAATCAATCGATCGATCGAAATCGTCCCCCCTCCGGGAATAGACCGCATCTTAACCCCGTCATAATAGCATACTCTTGTAGATCGAATCTCATCAGATGGCCTTGCACATTGAACCAAAGCTCGTTCACCTTTTCTGTGCAGACTATTCTAAACACTAGTTGTAGGATTAGCTGGGCAGAGAATTGAATATCTGGAACATCAGCCAAATACCCTAGGGAAGAGTTGCGAAAGTCCTCACATTGCCGCTCGTCAAAATGGTCCATCACGATCTTAACGTACTTGAGATTGCTGCGTTGGGAAATGTGGGCCCACAACTATGTGTCTTTTGGAATCAGGAATTCAAAGCCCATATGCCCTACAAGGTGCATTAACAAAACCCATGGGATTAGATTATAAACATAAACAATGTTGTATAATATCTAACAGTATAAGGAAGCAACATCATAGAAACGATGATCTGTCGAGAACTACAGAGATCAAACGTCGGTATCGACAGACTGTCTGTGGACATCTGTCAATATCGACGTTTGATGTCCAAATAGGAATGATAGGCTAACTGTCGAGAAAAACAGAGAGTCAAGTGTCGGGGTAGACACTTCACTGGGAGTTGCTATGCGTGCTGAGGGGTGCAAGTTCAACATATCAGGCAATGCCACATAAAAGTATGTTTGAGAAGTAATAACGGAGGATGTGTGAAGGCAGACATGCTTGCTAGGAACTGGAAACGACATGCATGCTAGGAACTGGAAAGATGGCCAATCGTATTTATGCATATGTTACCATACAAGTATAGGATTTCACGTAAGTTACGTATAAAAACACCCCATATGTCTAACCCACTTGAAAATGAAAGAAAGTGTTACAAATCCTCACCTGGTATGTACGAATGGGAGGCTTCGAATAGAACAGCTATGAATGTGTCCGGAATATGACACATCACCGAAGTCAGAAACACAAGTCGATAATTATTCTTCTAAACAAAATATCTAACATGAAAGAGTGTTGAGAAATGTCAGCAACACTATGATGATCATTACTAGCATAGAAGTAGATGATACGAAAAAAATGAAAAGGACAAGCAGATGATACGAAAAAAATGAAAAGGAGCAACGGATTCATAGCCATTCAAGTTACCATACTTATTATCAAAAATAGAAAACAAATTTAAGTAAGTGAGCATAAATGGAGAGTCAATATGAGACAGTGAAGGACTTGTATGCAAGTGATTTGAACGAAAGAATTTTAGAGGTCAAAGCAGGTAGGACACAGTATCATATACCTCAACTATTTGACGAATACTTAGGACAATCAATGACACCAGTTTGTACACCTCAACATGGTCAACAGTAATTGAGACAATCAATGAAATGAAAGAAAATTAATATTTATCCATCCTACGTATCCCATCAAATTGAGCAACCAAATCCTAGCATGAGATACTTACCGTACTTATGAGACATAAATAGAGAGTCAATATGAGACAGTGAAGGACATGTATGCAAGTGATGTGAACGAAAAAATTTCGAGATCAAAGTAGGTAGGACACAGTATCATACACATAAACTATTTGACGAATACTTAAGACAATCAATGACACCATTTTGTACACCTCATTTAGCTCAACAATACTTAAAACAATCAACGAAATGAAAGAAAACTACTATTAATTCATTCTAGGCATCCTATCAAATTAAGCAACCAAATCCTACCATGAGATAGTTTATATTCAACCAAATCAAATCATAAAAAACCAAATCCTTTTTATAACTTAGCAGAGAAAATCGACTTTTGCAGTCGCAGGAGTTGGCTGCATTAAAAATTGCCACATATGTATAAAGTTATCCATCGAAATTCCATGAAAATTAAATTTTATAAGAGGGACCCAAAATTGCATAAGCACAAGATTTTTCGATATGCGTCTCTTTTATCCAATACAAACAAAAGCCCAGCAACAATAACCACTTATTTAAAATTGTAACTTATACTATCTTATTATTGCCGCCACTACCATCTTATACCAGAAATCATCACAACTGTCGAGAAGTGAGATATATAAAACCACGACAACAAATCTTTGTCAACAAATCATCGTATTACACTATGGTATTCACAATGACTATTGGTAAAGCAAGTACTATAAATTCGACATTTTTGGACACCACATTTGGAAGCTTTGTCAAACCCAATTTATTAAGATCAAGATCCTGCTAAAAAAAGAAAAATACCCAAATCCCATTGAATAAAAGCCCTCATTTATTATGAAAAGCATATCAAAAGTTGTCTACTGATTAAACATTTAACTCTTAAATCTTTAAAAATTCAACACAAAATTGGAATATAGTTGGCCATTGGTAAATTCAACCCTAAAGTCTCAATTGATCCAAAATTTCCCAAGCAGGTTACTAAACGACCACAAGTATAATCATTTCCCAAAAGCACTTTAAACAAAGATGAGTAAATGTGAAAATAATGTTCATTCTATCTTCTACCAAAGAGCAAGCATGAAATTACAGCCATTTTACATTCAAATAAGCCAAATAAATCCATACATACTCTACCCAATACATTAAAACAATGAAATCCCAACTATACTCAAACAAATTACACTAATAGAGAAAGAACCCTTGTGTCTAATAATATGAAGAATCTCGAAGTAGAACTAATTTCCCATGTTCAATGGATATATCAAACTGTCATATGCCCATAAATTGTATGTATTTCCTCTTCTTTAGAAAAAATGCATAAAATGAATACAACACCAACTTGAACAAATTAGTGATGCTTTTCATCGATAGTGAAGTGATTGACGGCGGTCGTTGATGGCTGGTCGTTCGACGATTCGAATGTTAGAGGGGAGTCTCTCCTTTCGTCGGTTCGTATGACACAACGATCTGCTCTTGATCTTCATTGGCGCTGAAAGAAGGGAAAGTATGATAGAGGGAATGATTCCAATGAAAGAGGAGAATGTGTGAGAGAAGGGATTGTGTTTCAACACTGGTTTCTTCTCCTCCTTCGTTTGCTTTGGTCATTTCACCTTCTTCTTTCACCAGTTTTGTTCTCTCTCTCTCTTTTTTTAAATTTCCCAAGCACCTGATATTTCAGAGATTTTGTACAATTTGGAGTGTAGTCATGTCATATTTAAACAAAGACTCAGATGGGATTGAACTTGGTAAGAGGGGCGAAAAAGTCCAAATACGACAATTTTGCAATGACTTTAAAAAAGTGACATTTCTGTAAATGACAAGGCGAAATTTGACTAGTTTGATAATTTCCACTAACTTTAATTTCAACATCTTAAATTATATATATAATTTGGTGCTCCACTACAATATTTTACAAACAATCTTGGGATAAAACAAGAAATACATGGTGAAATCAATATATATATATATATATATATATAGAGAAAAAATCTTAGAAAAGGTCATAATGTTTTTTTAATGCATTATCGCTGATTGGAAGATCCATTCCTACTAAATCACGCATAAATGAAAATGGACAAGTTAGTGATAAAGAGTTAATTTATGGATAACAACATCCTAAATAATATATAAAATACAACCATGGACCGTGAACAGTTTTGTGGAAATCAGTTCTTCAAAAAATGAATTATGTGAAAGTCAAGACTTTCCAAGCAAATATCTTTAGGAAACTTACTTTTACCATTGATGCTAGAAATAGTGTTGCTTAAATGGTGAAGAATAGATACCCACAATTTATTTAATGTGACATTTAGTTTTGAGAATGATTGCCGACAAAAAGATTCATCGACAACTCCATTTCTTAGTTATTGAATTTTTACTTGTAAACGTGAGAGCCCGGTATTTTAAACATATGTTAGGCAAAAGGTAAAAGTCAAGGATCAACTCAGGGTCAAACCAATGGTTTAGCAAATAAAATAAAATAAAATTTCTTTTCTACAAAGTGAAGCAGTAAAATTTAGTTAAGGATCAACGTATAGCCCCCCAACATATCAAAAATGTGGTAGTAAAATTGAGGTAAGGGTCAATGCAACACCCACAGGCCACAACATATCAGAGCAAAGATGTTAAGCTTATTCAAAAATTTGAAAGGGTTTCAAAAATTTAAAGAGAAAAGATCTTTGTTTAAATTTTAATCTTTTTTCCTAGTAGAATGCCTGATGTGGTCGATAGCGATCTAACGTTGAGCAATTACGCATTATACATTCAGTTAGAATACTTAATGCAATTTAATTGAGTGGTCAAACTTAATGACCATTTAAATAACAAAATAAAGTTTGATGACCAACATGAAATTTTGTATAAGTTGGGTGACGAACAATGTTTTATAACTAGATATGTTAGTGTTTAAAAGAAATTTGGTTTTCACTTGAACCATTTTTTGTTCAAATTCGCTTGGTAACTCAAAAACTCAATTACACAATATAAACCTGTGGCCTTGCAATATGTACCATGTTTTTTCTGAAATAGCTAAAAACTCATAATATATTTATCACGACATCTCTTTTGTTGGTATAATCAAGTTGAATATTTCAAATAATTGCATTTTATATATTTTATGTTAAAAGTTTTTTCAGTAATATGAAAAGTCAATATCCTTGTCGCAACATGAACCTAACATCCTTCAGATTCTTTTGACCAATGTTATACCATTCCACAATAGTGGAATCTACTTCATTGTGGGACATACATCCTCTATGTCTTCATATATAATATGATTGCATGAACTTGAAAAACTTTGATCTTTTTCAATTACTATAAACATGATATTGGAAAAAATTATGGAGATTAACATATTCATCAAAATACTGAGTGTACTGATGTTTTTACTTTCACTATGCATGAAACTTAATTCAGTATATGCTAATGAAGTTAGGTGCATAGACAGGGAAAGACAAGCTCTTCTCAAGTTTAAGCATGGCCTTGTTGACGACCATGGAATTCTCTCATCCTGGGGAAGTGAAGAAGTTAAAAAGGAATGTTGCAAATGGAAGGGCATCTCATGTAGCAACAGAACTGGTCACGTAGTTTCACTCGATATGCATGTACCTCCGTCGGATGGTTATGTTTATCTGGAGGCTGCTAAGCTTATCCCCGCACTGCTTGAGTTGCAGAATTTGAATTATTTGGACTTGAGTTTTGTTGATTTTGGAAGTGAAATACCAAAATTCATTGGTTCCTTTAAGAAATTAAGGCACTTGAATCTTTCAGGAACATTCTTCATTGGTGAAGTTCCTTGTGAACTTGGGAACCTTACAAACCCGCATACTCTTGACCTTCGTTATAACGATTTGAGAATCAAGAACCTTGAGTGGCTTTCTCATCTTTCTTTGATGTCATTTCTTGACTTGAGTCATAATGATTTTGGAAGAAGTGAAATACCAAGATTCTTTGGTTACTTCAAAAAATTAAGGCGCTTGAAACTTTCAGTCTCAAACTTCACTGGTGAAGTTCCTTGTGAACTTGGGAACCTTACAAACCTACATACTCTGAACCTTCATGAGAACAATTTCCGAATCAAGAACCTTGAGTGGCTTTCTCATCTTTCTTTGCTGTCATATCTTGACTTGAGTGGTGTGAACCTTATGAATCAAACGAGCTGGTTGCACCACATGACAAGGTTCCCTTTCCTTGAGGAACTGTTCTTGTCATACTGTCGACTTCCCAACATAATGCCTTCCTTCAATATCCTTACTAATTCTTCTTTACCCTATCTGTCTATCCTCGATTTATCCTCCAATGATCTCACTTCCTCTTTTGCATTCCACTGGTTGTTTAACTTTAGTGCAAGTCTTACTAGCATAGACCTCTCCCATAATTGATTAGATGGTCCTATTCCTGATGCCTTTGGAGAATTGATTTTTCTTGAGAAGCTTTTTTTGAATAACAATACGTTTCGTCGGGGGGAGGGGGGTTCCAAAATCTTTGGGAAATTTAAGTCATTAATATTATCTAGACATATCATACAATGAATTAAATGGTCCCTTGACAGATGTTACCAAATTTTCATCCTTAAGATTTTTGATCCTTAACAACAATAAGCTGAATGGGTTTCACCCACAAAGCCTTGGGCTACCTTCAAGTCTTGAAAGTTTAGAGTTATTTGACAACCAATTTAGAAGGCTACCTGAAGGTACTGAGAAACTTTCCAATCTCCAATACTTACGAATGTCTTCAAATTTGTTGGAAGGTACAATCACTGAATGGAACCTCTCAAACTTTGCCAACCTAAAATACCTAGATTTATTTTTAAACTCCTTGGCTTTCAACTTGAGCTCAGATTGGATTCCTCATTTTCAATTGGAAGGAATATTGATCAGCCATTGCTATTTGGGGCCTCATTTTCCAAATTGGATTCAAACTCAGAGTACTCTTGAAATTATTGATCTCTCTTTTGCTGGTATATCAGATGCATTTCCTAATTGGTTGTAGAATATGTCTTTATTTAGATTAGATCTTTCTCATAACAATATTAGTTGTAAAATTTCTAATTTGTCCTCAGTTGATTCTTCGTGAAGTTGTAGATTGGCCAATTCCATTATTCCTTTTTCTTTCTGGAGAATTAAAAATGTCCAAAAATATGTTTTTGGGATCCATTTTTCACTTATGCACAATTCCTGAGGCCTCCATCATCCTCGTGCTTGATCTCTCTGATAACCAATTGGAAAGAGAACTTCCTAATTGCTAGTTGAACATGACATATTTATCTATTCTGGATTTGGCAAATAATAAGTTCTCAGGTAAAATTTCCCCCACTTTGGGCAGTTTGTATAAGCTTGAAGTATTACACTTGCGCAACAATAATTTCATTGATGAATTGCCTTCAACTTTGAGGAATGGCACGAGACTGAGAATGCTTGATGTGGGAGGAAACAAGTTAACATGTAATATTCCAACATGGATAGGAACACATTTAACAAGTTTAACAGTTAATAGCCTTCGACGAAACGAATTTGATGGAGTCATGCCTTCAACAATTTGTCGCCTTGCCAATATCCATGTCTTGGACCTTTCTAGAAACATTATTTCAGGAAGAATATCCCGGTATTTAAACAATATTACTGCTTTGGTTCAGAAGAACAGTTCAATTGAATATGGTGATTGGAAATTTTACCATCGTTACAATCCTGATTATGCTAACAACGCATTTTTCAATGGAAAGGACAAGATTCAGAATACAAAACACTAGGACTTTTGAATGGCATTGATCTTTCTGGAAATAAGCTTTTTGGACCTATTCCTCAAGAGTTTTCTGCTTTAAGGGGTTTAGTTTTCTTGAACTTATCTAGAAATCATTTGACTGGAAATATCATTTCAAACATTGGTCAAATGGAGATGTTAGAATGCCTTGACTTGTCTCGAAACCAGCTTTCAGGGAAGATACCAAACATCCTTGTACATCGTAATTTTCTCGGTGTTTTGGATTTATCATACAATAATTTGACGGGAAAGATTCCTTTGGGCACTCAACTACAAAGCTTCAACTCCTCTATGTATGCTGGTAATAGCCAACTCTGTGGAAAGCCTCTGATGGAGTGTCCTAAAGATATTTCTAATAGCTATGTGACTGATCACGGAAAGGGAAATATTTTTGAAGAAGATGACAGGTTTATAATTCGTGATTTTTACATTTGCATGGTATTTGGTTTCATTACTGGATTCTGGGTAGTTGTTATAACTCTATTCCTCAAGCATTCTTGGAGACATTCCTACTTCAACTTTTGGAATAACGTTTCAAACTGGATGTACGTGACAACAACCATCTATATGATAAGATTCAAGAGAAAATTTCAGACGTAAAGGTAAACATTTAAATTTTCTTGATCAATCTGGTTGTTATATATCCAAATCTTGACTTGGTTTGATATTGAAATCAGGAGGCCCTTCTGGGAAACAAGAAAGTGTTGACTATCATTCAAACAAGTTGTTGGCTGGAGAGGTGCAGGGACTATGCATGGCAGTGTTTCTATTCTAGTTATCGCCATTGTCTTACTTTCTAAGTATTTTTAAAAATAATATCAATTCGTGAGATCTCAATCCATACAAATAACTAGCTTTGTTGTGCTTAATCATTGGAGTAAAAAATAAATTTCAATGGAGATATAGAATATTGCTTGATTATTTAGTTGGTTTAGCTATTTTTATTCAAATATATGACTTATATAATTTGTATATACTAAAAAACTCAAGCCACTTTCTAGATTCATTAGTGCAAAATGCAATTAAGTGAAAAATAAATCTTAAACTCCTCTATATGTTGGAAATATTTGATTGTATGGTAATAAAATAGGGAGGGCCCATTAATGCTTTAGGGAAAAATACAAAGAACAACATTTTGAAATCTAAATTTATTTATCACTTAGCCTTGACTGCTGAGGTGCTAATGAGAATATATAGATAATGTTTCTTAAAACTGTATGTTCTTTACGAAGCAAACACACAACTATAGTCGTTTTCCCACAATGGAGGCTTATGTTCACTTAAAGTCGGCCTCTAAAACACTTTAAATAGTACGAATAGTAGACAACTTAATACATAATATGGAATACTCAATATACCCAATAATAAGTAGATCCTTAATCGAGGGTTAATACATAGTGTAGTATACTAGAGGGACCCCTCAAATGCCATTTATAGAAGGGTCCAAAAAGAATGTTAAATTTTGGGCAGAACACTACTGGATTTGATCTTTTGAGGTTCTTGGTTCTGTACACGGCTCTTAGCACACTTCATATGTGCATCAAAATCACTCGAACTACAATGATATAGCCAGCGACTCGAACACATGAATTTGATTTACACAAACCACGTCAAATTTTGTGCAGTTTTATGATTGTAGTAACTGCAGAAGCCACATATTTATGGATTTGGTCTTGATTTTCGAGTACTATTTAATCCAACACATCAAATTTTATGATTGACATGAAAAAAAATTGTAGTTAGTAATAGATATTAATCCCCCTAATGGAAGAAAATATTCCGAAGCAAATCAAATAACACTATGCAAGATCAAAGATTAATATTTGCCAATGATAGATTAAACTTTTCGATAAAAACCGTCACTAAAACTAATTCTTTATTTCGTAGTTGTAATAAAACTGTGCAGTAACTAGTAGCCAGTTGCAGCCACAGTTTCTTCAATTTAAGCCCTCAGAAGTCATTACTCATAAAAACCAACCACTATGAATTCTTTCACATGGTAACATCATAGCTATGGTTGATTTTGTCCTCGCTTACCACTTGGCACAATCATAGAAATCTCCTAGTCAATTAGAGCCAATCGAAAGCTGGATGGACTTGGTGCATCGTACGCCCTCAGGCATCATCATCAACTCATCATCTGTCAAGTTGAATCAATGCGTTAATCAAATTTCTTTGAAAAACCATACTCAAAAAAATTGTGTATATGATCAACATACAACTTGACATAGTAGACTTGTATCTATGCCCGTCTATGAAGTCAATGTATTTAACCCCTCCCCCCTCCCCGGCCCTCCCATAGAATGTCTTTTTCAGGACAAATTTACGAGATTTGGATAGATTTTTGGGCAATTCTTTCAATATAATATTAATGACCTACTATATGAATGTTTGAGTAGGAAAAGTTCAGTAAATAATCATTTTCCCTAAACCATCAATTCTATGCTCCATATGTTTCACATGTCACGGTAAAAGTGATATTTTTACAAAAGCCACCAATTTGACTTCGATTTTAGTCTGTCTCTTGTCAGAATTGGCCATTTATTTTGAGTAACGCTCCTTGCACAGAGTTAGGCGACAAGCTTTTTGATAGGTGCTGTGTTGATAGTACGTGTGTGACTCCTTTTTTCTTCAAATTGTCCAATGAAAATTTGACACTTATTCTCCTATTTTTAACTCCTATCACTCACCTTGTTTGTGTATCAAAGCTCATGTATTTTACATTAAAGAAACAAAACGGAACCCACTTCACTTTCAAATAATCGATTTTTCCTAGAAATAGCTCGACCATACATTCTTTGTTTCTCACTCCATAAGTCTAGGTCAAGGAACATGATTATTTTAAGCCCAAAATATTGACATCTTGAATCAGTCCGATGCTGCCTTTGTCAGTTGGTTGCGTACATAAATGATATATGCTCAGGTGAAAGATGAAATTAAAAGTAGAAGAGCGGGGAGAAGGGAAACTATAATGGAATACAAGCATTTAAAGTGTCTATCACGGTTCTTGAGAAGATTGATCTAAAAGATTTTCTATTCTTATCGTTCCTCATTGTAGTTGCTTTATTTACTTCAATTTAGTTTCCAACTTGCCCCACGTATAAGTCGAATTCATTTTTCATAGCATGACACATGGACAATTTTTATCCACATTTGGCAAAACTTAAATTATAATTTATGCTGATTAAACATACTTTTATTTATTTATTTCATAGGATCTAAAATTATTACTCATTTTTAATTCACACATTTCATAGAATTCACAACTTGTAATCACTTATAACACTCATGGACTATGAACTTGAGTTTGGAATCTCTGTCTACCATCATACTATGTAGAACCACTTATCTCAAAACTTTTTTTTGCTTCAATTCGAGAAGGGATTGTAACTTACTATCTGTAACACCCCGAAATCTATTTCATTTTTTTTAAAGGGACTTCAAGTGTTACCAAAAAAAAAAAAACCTTCTTTTTCTGATTTAAGCAAAAATTTCCTTTTTATTCAAAATTTGAAAATTTGATCATAGGTTGATAAGGATAAACAAACAATCTAAGCAAAAAAATTCACATTAAATAAAGTCTTAAGAAACTACGATTTCAAACCATCAATGTAAATTTAACATAAAATGCCAAATGTTCAAATGTAAAAAAGCTAAATAATGTGCACAAAATTTAACATAAAGATGTTCTTCAAACAAGACAAAAGAAAATTTGCAAATTATCATTTCTAGTAATTTTACTTGGCGACCCCATAAGCATTACTCGATCAATTTACCACACATCTAGACGACCCATCATAATCTGAAAAATTATTATAAGAATGAGTATTTTGAAAATACTCAATAATTCTTTTTTGCATATTCTTATTAGCATGATATAAATTTAAAATGACATACCGACTTTTCTTAAATTTAAAGCAAACTGATCGCGATATTCAATAGCTCAAGGAATTTCTTAAGGATTTCTATATCCCGTAGGATTTACCAATTTGACTGAATGGTCTATTCCGTAGGATTTAACATATAAATCGGCCCGGAGGCCTTATAGTATTTCATGCTAAAATTTATATAAACATCAAGAAATAAGATTTTCACCACTTTGCACTATGTATTATTACCTTAACTGATACTCAAAGATATCTGAAAATGCAAATAATGATATTGTGAAATTTTCTTAACAGTGTATGTATGAAGCGAAATTGCAAAGAATGAAGTGGTGTAAATTTTTTTTAAGTGAAAATAATATTCTACTTATGTATACGTAAATGTAAAATCCATCAACCAAAAAGTCAAAACATCTCGAGTCAAAATTGTAAAAATTCAAGAACTAAATGAGTCAATTTATTACCTCCATCAATCAATCAATCAAACATTTGTGACTTAAATGTAGAATTCAACAATGGATTACTCTCAGTGTACAGAAAAAAATTCACAGAATGTTTATAGTCCCTCACATGGGTGTGGGCCCTATGTGAATATTTTATTGCAAAAAATAAACCACCACCCACTATTGAGTCTCATCTATAATACTTCTGTGAAGTTTCTCCATGTAAGTGTAGCTTGACTCTTCAACAATTTTATTAATTAATTTATTAATGCAATTCAAATTGATATTAACGTTTTCCAACAATTGACGTTACAAGTTTTTTTAAATGTTAAGATAACCATTTTCTTTTTATTAGAGTAACTCGGACATAATTAGCTCAAAATTACTTTTCCTTGAGGCCAAATTATATTATTTAACACGAACTACAAAATGAGTATAATATCGATATATTTTTATCAACTCCTAAAATACTTAAATATTCGATCCAAATAACTTACAATAAATTTTAAAAAGTACACGTAAGCAAATAAATCATTTATGTAAATAAGTGAGTCGAGTTTATCACTTCAACTTTTGGACTTTAGTGCAACGACAAGGCTGGCCATAGAGGATTTCATTTTCTAGATGGCCAACATTAAATTTAGTCCATATGAAAATATAATTAAAATTCTGAGTGTCACATCCTTTTTCATTAAAATAATTTCGTCCTCAAAATTACCTTATTTAGTTGAAAAACTCTGGATACTTGCTTTTATATCCTCTTCTTTCTCTCAAATAGCTCCAAGAATTTTCCATCAAGCCTAAACAAAGGCAATTTCTTTATTCTTTAACCTATGTACTTTCGTTTCAATAATATCCAAAGGGGCCCCTTCCTATGTCAATTCTTATGTACTTTTGATTAGTCATAGCTTATAACATATTTGGGATCATGCACATACTTTTTTAAGCATTGATACATAAAATACATTATGCATTGTTGATAGCCAGGTGGCAATGCTAGAAGTTATGCCACATTGGCCTATAAATCGAGATTTCAACTTTTCCTTTTTACCAAATCTAAGAACCCATTTTATTGTTGCCACATCTAAGTACACTTTCTCACTGACTTCAAATTCTATCGATTTGTTTCATTGATCTACATATCTTGAGCAAACTTTATTTGTCTCTAATTTTATCAATTGCTTGCACTGTCCTTGCAATGATTTCTAGACCCAAAGCTCGTTATTCTCCGACTTCATCCCAATAAACTGGGGATCTATATCTTCTACCATAG